CACAGTCTCCCCATCTCGTCTGAGTCCCCTGATCCCATCCAGGGTTCCTGTACCCCACCCAGGGTGCCCCCTCCCATCTGGATGTCCCCATCCCACCCAGGATCCCCCCATCCCATCTGTGTTCCCTCCATCCCATCCAGGGTTCCTCTACCCCATCCAGGGTGCCCCATATGAGGTTCTCTCATGCCACTCAGAGTGCCCCCTCCCACATGGGTGTCCCCATCCCATCCAGGGTGCCCCCATCCCACTCAGGGTGCCCCCTCCCACATGGGTGTCCCTATCCCATCTGGGTACCCTCATCCTGCTTAAGTCGTCCCTACCCTGCCCCATCCTATTCAGGTGCCCCCACCCTATCTGGGTGACCCTGTCCCACCCAAGGTGCCCCCCCCCATCCTGCTGGGGTGCCCCTATCCCATTTGGGTGCCTCCCTGTAACAGGAGACCCCCCCATCCCACCCAAGGTGGCCCCATCCCTCCAGGATGGCCCTGTCCCAATTGCAGTGGCTCCATCCTACCCATGTGTCCCACCAGAGCTGAGCGTCCCCAGTCTGCCCGGGTGTCCCCACCCCACCAGGGTGTCCCCATCACCCACATCAGCAGGATGCTCAGGGGAGGTTCCCCATCCCACCCCACACTGGGAGCAGGGTGCCAGGGTGCCACCCCGGTGCCCATCCAGCTCCAAGCCAGCCTGGAGGACAGACCCCATCGGAAAACCCTTTTCCCACCCTTTTTTTCACAAGGGTGGGTTCATCCCCCCGTGACAGGGATGCACGGGTGGGACGGGTGCTCACCCCATTGCCCATCACCCGAGAGGCTGCTGGGATGGCACCAAAAGGGGCTTCATCCAGCATCTCCAAGCAATTGGCTTCACCCCATCCCATCACCCACAGCCCGACCATGAACCCCCATCTCTGGCCGGACTTGCCACCTCTCCATTTCACCGGACACCGAGGAGGGTTCCCAAATCCCAGAGTCACAAGCCTCTCCCCACCCCTCCCCGCCAGGCCAGCAGCCCCTTGCTCTGCTCCACAAAGGTTCTTCAGTTGCTTTGCCTGAAATACTTCATGAAAAGGCTTTTGTAACATGGAAATAAGTGGTGACCCCAGTCCCCCCTGCCCAAGTTCCTCAAGGAGCGGCGAGAGGCAGCTGCAGGGCATCGTGCCGGCCGGCCCTTCCCGGCTCCCGGGCCTCCAGATGTTTTATTACCCTGCTTTTAATTAACATTTCCATCCATGCGCTGAATGGGGAGTTCACATCTGCCCCTTCCCAGGCGGCTCCTTGCTCTGGGTTTAGGGGTAGATGTGGCGGGGGGAGCCCTTCGGTGCGGGGTCCGGGGGGGGCTGTGCAAGCCCCAGCTGCTAAAAAATACACACAATCACTCAAAGCCTTGGTTTTCCCTCCATTCTGCTGGGAGATAAATAACGCACGGCATAAATCCACAGAGGAGCAAGGAGGCAGCTGGTTCCTGGCATGGGACACATGGGGGGTGCCCGTCCCCCACCGCCCAGCGCTCCCCAGGTGACCCCCAGCTTTGCAGGACCCCGTGTCATAACACAGTAGCTGGCAGCGCTGCAGTTTTGGGGTCTTTCCCAATGTCTTTGCACATCCTACCAACCCAGGAGAGCCTCTACAATGGGTTTGAAGGTCACCAGCAGAAGGCAACTGGTGCTCTGGAGGCAACTCAGTTCCCAAGAGGTTCCCAAGACCCCCCCCCCCGCCCCGTTAAACAATAATTTACAGCAACCTGGCTGGGCAGGTGGGACAGGAGGTCCATGAGATGGAGGGGATGACGGTGGGATGGGATCTCCATGAAATGGAGGAGATGATGGCAGGATGGGAGGCCCATGAGATGGTGAGGGTGGTGGCGGGATGGGAAGTCCATGAGATGGAGGAGGTGATGGCAGGGTGGGAGGTCCATGAGATGGAGGAGGTGACGGTGAGATGGGAGATCCATGAGATGGAGGAGATGATGGCAGGGTGGGAACCCTCTGAAACCATCTCACGTGATCTTTTGCCCCTGCGCGGCCCAAACAGAAAAGCCACCCTGGGCGCTTACGTGTGCCCCTGGGTCAGATCCTGACCCCCAGCCTTTGCCCCAGCACATCCTGGTGGCAGACGCTGCGGGGGACCTGGCAGCGGCGCCCTGAGGGCACCACGAGGCTGGGGATGGAGAAGGGGGCAGAGGCTGGGGACCTGGGGACAGCGGGAGGAGGCGGGGGGGCTGCTGCACGAGGGGAGTGGTTGGAAATGAGTCTGGGGACCGAGGCGCCACAGCTGGGAGGGTGTGAGGTGGGACCCTTGGCCACCCCAGGGCCTTCAGCCACCATGGGACCCTTGGCCACCATAGGACCCTCAGCCACCCCAGAAGCCTCAGCTGCTCCGGGACCCCTGGCCACC